AAATCATTAGATAAAAAGTTTAAAATTAGCTAATTAGAATTTAGAATTTTTAATTACAACTAGTTAATTATATTGAAAATAACTAATCAATTAGAAAAAATTTTATCAACAAAGATCACCACATAATATAGTAACAAACTTGTCATCACAACTTTCATAATATATTATTGTTATTGTTTTTTTTTAGTATTTTATTCTATTTAATATCTATAAAAATAAAGTATTTGTTATATTGCAGTAAAGTTTTCAAATAAAATTTTAGGCTAGTACAAGCATTTTAATAGATGCTTTAATTCATTTGTAGATATCAAATATTGAAAATATATTAGTTGTAACTTTATATACTAGTTCTATTGTTTGTTATATATTAAATATCAATTAATTATTACTATTTGAATATAGTATGAAATTGATTAAATTTATTATTTGTTTGGTTTTTTTTCTGCTTCAAAGCAGCTAAAATATAAAAAATATTTTTAATTGAAAATTATATTTGAAACAATATGAATTTTTATAGTGTTTTGGATATAGATGAAGAAAAATTCTTATATTGAGAGAATAATTAAGAGTAATTTAATTCTAAATATATTAAAATTAATATATTTGATATTATAAAATTCTTTTATATATTTGTTGAATAATTTCATTATTTTTAAATCAAGTAAAATAGAAATGATTAAGTTTTTAAGTATGAAAGAACTTTTACAAGTTATATAAAATTTAATTATATTAAAAATTTTTTATATTATCTTGAATAGCTTCTTAAATTTGTATTGTTAATAGTAAGGATTTTTTATAATAATATAGGAATACATTATTCCATTGGATAAAATTAGTAAATATTGATTTGGACTTGGATTTGGTAAAACCAATGAAGATAAACTTTTGTGCTGCTAGATGTTCAATTTTTAAAGATTAAAGAAGCAAAATTGATTTTTATTTGCTTTTTTAAAATGTTAAAAAAAGCTTGAATTATTCTTTTGTTGTTTTTGATTTCAATTATACATTGTAATGGACATCATTAAATGATGTTATAAATAATTTGAAGTTGCTAACTGGAAGTTCCAAGTTGAATATTGTAATTTTTGAGCATTGACAATTATTTCTTGTTTAGAAAGTTAAATATAATATAAGTTGTATTGATCAATTGCTAGAAGTTGATAGTTAATAACAATTTAATTAATAAACTTTTAATATTATTATATTAATTCTTTGATAAATTCGAAAAATAACAAATTTAATTATTGTAAAGAGCACAGATAACCTCAGGCCTTTGACTTGTATAAAATTTAAAATGTAATGATATCATAATAGAATTTTTAGGATTATAACAAAATTAAAATTATTTTGATTATTTGTATCATTTTTTTTTTTTCTTATTATCTTTTTCTGTTTATTTGTTTTATTTATAGTATTTGATTTATAATGCAACTAAAAAACATGATTATGAATAATATTAATTATTCGATGAATTCATATTTCTACAGTAGTAATAGTTGTTTGCAAATTAGAATTTGCTTTAGTATGTACTGTATGTGTATGATAAGTTTTTTTTAAGTTTTAATTTAATTTAATAAATATTTTAGAAACTTAAACAAAGTTTTTTCGCATCTACCTTAGAATTGATGAAATCTTGAGAGGTCAATCTAATTCCTAAGATTATTAATTTATAAGAATTTTTATAATTTGAAATTCAAATATATTTATAAAACTGATTAATTTTACTTATAATGCCTGTACTAAATCCAATAAACATGTTGGTTTTCGAAAAAATTTATAAAGCAAAAACAATTTGGATAATCTTAAATTATTTGCCATTTTCTATATACAATTAATAAATAACACATGCATTGAGGTAAGCATTCGATTAAAGTTTTAACTCTTGAGACTTGTATTGATTTGACTGGTTCTTCTGTCGCTTGCACCTCTTGACTGATATACCTTAAACTCTGCTTAGTTGCTATAACTTTCTCGATCATTTTGGACAAACTCCGGTTCATAGATATCATTTTCTACTTACTATTCTTGGTTAACATTGGAATCTGATCCACGTTGTGGTCCCACTTGACAATATAGGTCATTTGTTGTTGTTTCAGTTGTCCTTTGTGGCGTTGAATGATTTGAAATCGGCATCGATGATGTTTGTTTCATCGATACTGTCGATGTTGATCGTGTCGATCGTGTCGATGTTGATAATGTCGATGTTGATTGTGTCGATGGTTTTTACACTATCTGTGGATTCTGTCTATTAAAAGGATTGCAAAATTCCCAGAGACGAAACTTGATAATTATTGTTGTAATGACTATAGCCAAAATAGCACCAATAACGCCAAGAGTAATTTTGATAGCTATGAATCGGAGAATCAATAGATGTGTGAGTACGATTTAGTTAATATATAATATGCATTGCATTTAGGAACTTACTTGGGAAGGGTGGTTCATCTGCATGTAGTATTACTTTGTATACACTAAGAGCCAAAGGTCCTCCGCAAATTTCGGAGTTATTTCCTGCACAACTAAAACAGCAGTCTCCTGGATCTAGTTGTGTTAAACTATCGTACTTATTATCGCAAAAACATTGAGTTCCGATCTCCAATCCCGCATATTTAAACCCATTTTGACGGCAATACTCTATGCAATTATCTACAGTCATATTGGTGATGCCTTCTATCTCCGAGCCATTCAGGGCGCGAACTCCACAGTATGGGCTATCTTTGATGCATCCCAAATAATTAACATCGTCATTGAGTTTTTTGATAATATCAAGTTTTTTGTCAATAGGAGGCAATCCAGAGGAGGGTATTTTATTTTTAGTTAGTGTAGCGTTATAAACCGTATAAGCTTCGTTTCCGCCACAAATGTACGAACTATTTCCAACACAAGTAATGTTGCAATTAAAATCTTCGACTTTATTCAAAGCCACGAGACTATTTTGGTTTCCACATCGACACTCTTTTCCCTTTCTTAGGGCACTAAAGTAAAAAAGGTAACTGGCACAATAATCAATGCATAATCCAGGGTCCATTAAGTTACCATCTCTATCTAGGTATGGGTCGAAAAATCCTATACTAGAAAGACCGTTTAAAGAATCGTGAGTTACATCGATACTTTTATAGCAACCTAGCGATGTCGTTCTGGGTTGATCTCTTCTGGTCAAATTGCCTACGCAATCTGCCCCCCCTAGTCAAATCGATAAATAATGTGCATAGAAAAAAACCCAATAAAAATTTCTCGTTTATCATAGCAAATTATTAGGCGTTTAAACGTAATTAATTAAATTATCCTTAAAATTTTAAGGTTAATAACTAAAATCATCTAATATAATATAGAATCAGATGATTAATGGTACTCCAAACAGTGTAACAAAAAGGTCCCATTATGCTGTTGTAGCAGAGATTTACAAGGTGTCTGTTCTCCTTATCTCATTTATGCAAGACTCCTACAGCATTATGCAGCATACCGTGAAGAATCATAAGAAATATGACATGTGACCTTGTTAAAAATTTGCAAAAAGCTGCAATGTATTAATGTTTTGCGGAATTGACATATAATCTTAAATGAAATCATAATTGCACAACTAGATAATGCATGTTAATTAAGATTTATAATTTTATAAATCAATAAAAAAGTTTTTTACTAATAAAAATATTTTTATTTTTTCAAAGAAATTTTATGAAATTAAGTTGTTTTTTATAAAAAATATTATAAAAAATTATTATAATAACAATACTGTAACTTGTTTCTTTATATATTTCTTATAATCTTTATTAATATAGCAAAGGTTTTTCTTGTTTCATTATTAATATTAAGATACAATGATATATGACTATACATATAAGCCTATCACTAATTAACTATCTTTCTGTAAAATCATCTTGTAGCAAGAAAAAAAAATTATATAATTTAAAGACCAATATTTTCCTGATAATTTATTAGAATATAAATAGATTCTATAAAATGAATTGAATAATAATGTTAATTAGTTTACATAATTGTAAAAGTTTATATCTACTCTTATCGATTGTAACAAATTCTGCCTATGTTATTGGTAAATACTTATTAAATATCTTTTATAGTCTTTTTACTACTTAATAGCAT